GGTTTGTCCTGTCCAGTCTACTAATAAGCCTATATCTGAAAGGCATTCTTTGCTTTTGTTAAAGTGTTTATTCATAGCTTTCTTTGATTATTAGAAGTTCCATCTCTGTATATATTGTCCATCTATTCTTTCATGTTGTCTATATTACTCATTAGTGACTTTAGCATATTAATCATAGTTCATTTAAATTCCTGGTCTGGGTGGAATTAACAGACCTAGTTGGTAATTCCCTGCCTAGTTGAGTCTGGTTCTGATGCTTGTTTTGTCTCTTAATACTAGTATTTGCATTTCAATAAGCCTGTGATTTCTTGTTGAAAGGCGCACATGATGTCTGGGTAAGAGGAGCTGTGGTAATAACAGGTCTTTAGCAAGGTGGTGGTAAGGTGTACTGGGGAGGGGAAGCAGTCTGTAGTCCTGTGATTGCCTGTCAATCTCTTCATGAGGCTTGTACACCTGGGTTGTGACCTTTGCTTGTGCTTCTCGGTCTCCCCACCCCCACCCCTTGTGGGACAGGATGGCTTGACCAACTTCTTCAGCTTGTAGAGGAAAAATTCAGGGAAGTGTGGGGGTCCTCTTAAGACAGCCCCCAACCCCTGGAGTTTTTGTCAGACTTGCCCATGCTGATTCTCCAGCAATGTCGGTTGCAGTTTAGGTTTTTCTTACCATGGCCCTGGTTCCTGTGTGGAGGTTTCTGATCTAGTAAGTTGTAATTCTCTGTCTCTGCCTGTCTCTCCAGTTTTGCGGACAGTTGTTTGTCTTGTGACCTCAGTTCTCTGACTAGTCTAAGAAGTTGTTGATTTTTTCAGTTTGTGTAGCTTTTTATGGACAAATTAGTTAACTTGCAAGCTTTTTAAATGGCAGATTCTCTTTATTTATTTTTTAATTTTCAGGAGGTGCTTTCCCTTTTCATAGTCTCTTGTTCCCATTCTGTTGTTATAATATCTTCAGTTTCCTTGGAGATGCCAATTCTTTATAATCATTTTAGATCTCATATCATTTCAGGGATAGTGGTGCTGCTCACTTTCATTTTTCTCAATTCTTTGATTATGAATGGCTTACCTTTTCTTGAGTGATAAATAGCAAAATGCTGTTTCTTCTAAATGGAAGTGTTGACTCTGGGGACATAGGGGGATGTTTAGCATTTGAGGCACCCTTTCCTAGAACCCGGCACTCAGTACATCCAGTGTGGGGTTGTGTGTATGTTGGGGATTGAAAAGGGTTCTTGACACCTGGTGCAATTCTAATAGCTCTTGAAAGACTTTTTACTTTTACTTCTCTTTTTTTCATTTCTTACCTCCTTCCATCCTTGTCTACTCTAAGACCAGACATGTTCCAGGGATGCTTCAGGTAGACTTGCTCCTGCTTCCAGTCTGTATCTTGTCTTCACTGTTTGAGGCCATCACATGCTTAATTCTTCACCCATTAGCTATTATTGAGCTTCTGTCCACATCTCAGTGCGTATGAACATGCTGGGTGAAGTGGGCAGAGCGGTTCTTGGCAGTCAGCACATCTCCCAGTTTTAGTCTCCATGGAAGAACTGTAAACTTTGCTTTCAGATTGTATTGTCTTAAACATGTTGAGACTTTTATTATTATTATTATTATTATTGTTATTGTTGTTTTGAGATGGAGTCTTGGCTCTGGGCTGGAGTGAATTGGCGTGATCTTGGCTCACTGCAACCTCCACGTCTCAGTTTCAAGCGATTCTCCTGCCTTAGCCGGAATTACAGTTGCCCACCACCATGCCTGGGCTTTTTTTTTTTCTTTCTCCACCCCCCCCGCCCCTTGTATTTTTGGTAGAGACAGCGTTTCACCATGTTGGCCAGGCTGGTCTTAAAATCCTGACCTCAAGTGATCCGCCCACCTTGGCCTCTCCTAAAGTGCTGGGATTACAGATGTGAGCCACCATGCTCCGCCTGAGACCTGTATGATTCAGAAATATGTATCTGAGTGAATGTTTCCATGTGAACTTGAAAAACTATTTTGGTGTTAATGGTTTAGTATTCTTTAAATGTCAACTAAGTAAGGTTGGTTGTTCAGGTTGTTCAGGTTGTTCAGGTCTTCTATATTCCTTTTGATTTTCTTTTTTAAATTTTTCTATTTTTTTTGATTGGCGTATTCATGATAATCTTTCTGATTTTCCTATCCACTTGTTATATCAACTGCTGAGAGAAGAGTTGTATAATTAAGTATAATTATGGATATGTCTTTGTCTTTCTGTCAGATTTACTTCATGTGTTTTGGTACTCTGTAATTGAGTTCATATGCATTTAAGATTATTATGGCTTTTTAATTAATTCACTCTTTTAGAATTTGGAATTGTCCTTTGATTTGTGGTAACATTGTTTGTCTTGAGGCTAATTTGTTTGGCTTTTCCTTTTATAGTCTTAATTGGTACAATTAGACTGTTTCTATTTAGTTTAATTATCAATGTGTTGCAAGTGGAAGGTATTTTTTACTGAAGATAGCATTTTAAGTCCATAGGTAAGTTGATTTGCTTTTTTTTTTTGGACAGAGTTTTGCTCTTCTTGCCCCAGCTGGAGTGCAGTGACACAATCTTGGCTTACTGCAACCTCCGCCTCCTGGGTTCAAGCGATTCCCCTGCCTCAGCCTCCCGAGTAGGTGGGATTACAGGCGTGCGCCACCACACCGAGCTAATTTTTTGTATTTTTAGTAGAAACAGGGTTTCACTGTGTTAGCCAGGCTGGTCTTGACCTCATGTGATTCGCCCCCTTCAGTCTCCCAAAGTGCTGGGATTACAGGCGTGAGCCACTGCACCAGCCTGGTTTGCTTATGTTTTAGCACCTTAAAGATGTATTCCACTGTCTTCAGGCTTACGTTGTTTCTGACATCAATTTTGGAGTCAGTTTTATTTTTGTTTTCCTATATTTAATGTATCTTCTGTTCTTTAGCTATTTAAAAAAACTTATTTGTATCAGTGGTTTTTAGAAATTTGATGAAGAAGTGCCTTGGTGTGGTTTCCTTTGTTTTTGATCTTACTTGGGCTTTGCTGAGCTTGGTAGCCCTGTGGTTATATGCATTTTATCACATCTGGACAACTTTCTACCATTATATTTTCCCCTCACTCCTCTCTCTACTTTTTGTCTTGGATTCTGCTTTCCTATGTGTCAGGCCAGTTAATATTGTCCTAAAGGTCACTGAGGTTGTGCTCATTTTCTTCCAGGTTTTTCTTTGTGTGCTATTTTGAGTAGTTTGTATTGCTGTGTGTCAAAGTCACCCATCTTTGTATCTCACATTCAGTGAATTTTTAATTTCAGATTGTGTATTTTTCACTAATTTCATTTGTTTTCTTTATATTTTCCACTTTATATTTTAAGTATTTTTATTTTCCTTTAAATATTTGAACATATTTATTAGTGTTCTCAATGTCCTTGCCTGCTAAATACTGTGTTTCACTCATAGCCAACTCAACTCTGGAATTACAATCTGCTAATTTTTTTGTGTCTAATAATTTTTGTTGGTGTTGAACGTTTGAAACCTTGTGTTGTTGAGTGTTGGGACTTTGTTGATGTCCTTTAGAGAGTATTGGAGTCTATTTTGGTAAGCAGGTGCTGAGCTTTTGTTCCAGGCTGCCTCATATTTCCTAGTTAGGGCCATCTGTTGCCATTTTTATTGATTGCCCCAAGTGTTAAGAGGTGGCGATGGAATCTGGACAACTGTCCCTTTGTGACTTCTCAGAATTATGTGCAGATTTGTGTTAGCCAAAGACTTCAGACATCCACCCCCAAATGCAGACTTTGAGCTTCCCTTCTGAGTAGATCCCTTCTTGCCCACATGTAGTTCACAAATTCCAGCCAGCCCACCCTTCCCAACTCCAGACTGACTCACGACATGGTAAAAGGATAGTGTTCTTGGTTCCCCCTTCATATACCATGCCCAAAAATTGCTACCAGGAATGAGGTCAGGGCCTGTGCAGGGTTCCCCATGTGTGTTTTCTGCTCCCAGATCCCACACACCTGTGCTGCCTATCGCCCAGCATCTGAAACCAGGTGTTTCATATATTTCATCCTGTTTTTCAGTTGTTTATGACAGTAAGACAGTTTTGTACCATTTAGGACTTTATGGCTAGGATTGTCACGTAGTCTTGTTTTGTTTTTTTGAGACAGTGTCTCACTCTGTTGCCCAGGCTGGAGTGCAGTAGTGCAATCTTGGCTCACTGCAGCCTCTCTGCCTCCTGGGTTTAAGCAATCCTCCCACCTCAGCCTCCCAAGTAGCTGGATTACAGTTATACACCACCACGCCTGGCTAATTTTTGTATTTTTAGGAGAGACAGGGTTTCACCATCTTGGCCAGATTGGTCTCAAACTCCTGACTTCAGGTAATTGACCCAACTTGGCCTCCCAAAGTGTTGGGATTACAGGCCTGAGCCACTGTGCCTGGTTAGGTTTTTTTGTTTGTTTTTGTTTTTTTGAGACAAGGTCTTACTCTGTCACCCAGACTGGACTGCAGTGGCAAAAACACAGCTCACTGCAACCTCGACTTCTGGGCTCAAGTGTTCCCCCCACCTCAGCCTCCTGAGTGTCTAAGACCACAGGTGCGCACCACTACACCTGATTCATTCTTTTTTTTTTTTTTATAGAGACAAGGTCTTGCTATGTTACCCAGACCTGTCTCGAACTCCTGACCTCAGCCACCCTCTTGCCTTGGCCTCTCAGAGTGCTGGGATTACAGGGATGAGCCTCCACACCAGACTGACACTTAGTTTTTCTTGTAGTTCTTGTCCATGCAATTCTGGTTTTGTGCTTTTATGGCTGATTTGAGGGGGTAGAGAACTGTTGCCTCTGCTATTTTGTCTTTCAAGAATCTCTTGTGTGTATCTCCTTTTTAAAAGTTCAGTAAACAAGTGGCTTTCTTACATGTTTGCTGATAATGGTGTATTTTCATGTTCTGTATAGCAGTTTTTCAGAAGTTAAGATTTCCTGCGTTCTGAGGTATTCTTAAATCTGGTTTTCATCGACTGTATATGCATCTCTCTTACAGGCCATGCTGGAGTATCTGCCAACATGATGAAGAAGAGGACATCCCACAAGTAAGCAGTTCTGAAACTGGTTCTAGAATAGTGTTTTGTGACCTTTTGTTACGCAGCATACAAGATCACCTAGGTAAGGCCCCCTCCCCTATGATCGAGGGCTTCCTAGCTCACAGGAGATGTAGTGTGCGATGAGGAATAGTATGTAGTCATCTTCTCTGTCTGTTCCCTTCGCCTTGGCCTGGCTGAAGTGTGCCAGTTCTACCCTTCAGCCTTTAAAAGCCTTTGGGACGTGATTTGTCTCCAGTTTAATGGGAACTGGGCCAATGGAAGGAAAACTGTTGTAGTAAATGTGGCAGGTGCATGGTGAACCTCTCCCTCTTCTCTCCTTGTAATGCCTGTGTGGGCCTTGTGTGCAGGCTTTCTCTCCTGGTCTTGGTCCACTGTTTGACAAGGAGCTCCTTTTGGGCAGAGACCATGTCTTATGCTGGGAGGGCCTGCCTAACATGTGGTCACACGCTCACTGTTTTATAGCATTTTTATATGAAGGAAAAGCTTATGAATTTAGGGAAAGCATATCCATGTTAAAAGATAATGCAATAGCCATGTATTTAAACCGACAATGTGTTCTCCATCCTAAATTCTATAAATACCAGCTTACAGAAGCCACTTTTTTCCCTAAATTTTTTTTGTGTGTGACAGTTACATCCAAAAGAGAAAATTAAGATTCTATTAATGTCTTCAATTATAATATTCACTTTTACTTTGTTACGTATAATTGATTTCACAGCTATCTATCCTATACTGATGACTATGCCATTACAAACTGGAAATGTCACTCGAACAATCTGTTCTGATTGTAAGACTCTTCTTAGTCATAGATGATTAAATATGGAGAAGACACTCCTTGATCCTAGCACCATGTGAGGCACTCTTTAAAACATTTTTTCCCCAAAATATTGGTATTGAAAGTGTATGCCCCTTAGACATGACAATGTAATAGCTGAAGAGGATGTGGGGCCTCTTGGCTATCAGGGAAGGGCTGGATGAATGCCCTTCAGTAATTGTTAGTGAGTGGACCAAACAAAAGTCTCCAAAATGTGTACGTGATACATAATACAAATATTTGTAATATTTAGCATAAGAAACTACCTGGAAAGTAAAAATGTGGAGGTAAGCTACAGAAGTTCTTGTATCTCTGAGGTTAAGTTTCTGGAATTTTATCCATGTGCTCATCATCTTCATGGTTTTGCCATATCCAGTGATATGTTTTTGCTCATTATCATGTCGTTACTATAAATACTAAGCTGTGTCTTGCCACAAATAAAGCATAGCAGTAAAAACAAATGTAAGCCATAAATATTAGGTAATGATGAAAAACTTAAATACAATGGGGACAAAGGCAAATTAAACCTTAACTTTGCAAGACCAGAACAGTTCATTCAAAATAGATTTTGCAAATTAAGTTAAAGGCTTTTAGAATATTAATGTGCGTTCTAATCATTTTTCCGTATTTTCTAATCATCTATGATTAAAAGTTCATTTACTTAGGATTTCAGATATTAATAGGTTTGAGCTCTTGGGCGTGTTATTTGTGCAGTGAGATTCCATCTGCCTCATCCTAATAAGCAGTACTGTTCATTAATTCATAGGTTTGATTCCCTAAAGCGTAAGAAACGAAACACCTGAAGTTCATATGCATAGTAACTGAAAAAGTCTGTCATCCTGTATGTTCCACATTTGGGGACCTTGATTTAGTGCTTTCACAGGCACATATACTTGTCTTGAAGACTGGAAGCCTTGAGCATATTACTCTCTAGCAAAAGGGAGAAACTGAAAGGAAAAGTTGTGAGTCCCGTTTTCCTGTTCTCAGTGTGAATCTGAAGATGGGTAGAAGGAAAGGCTGAAACAGAAGTTTCCACTGTTTTTCACATGGAGTGAGCAGGGATGGCTGCATGGAGCTTTGAAGAGGCTGCCTGGTGGGGAGGCAGGCTCTCCCAGGCGAGTTAGGAAGCCTGATGGAGTTTGGCTGTTAGGCCTGTGGAAGTTCCTTAATGTATCTAAGGTTGGCTTAATCCTGTCTAAAATCAAGGTATTGAACTGGAACAATGAGGTTTGCAGCTTTTTAGCATAGATTCCTTTCTAAAATGCAATTTTTATGAAAATCAAATATAGAAAAACGCAGAACTATAGCATCCTTCTCCCCTTCACTTTCTCCACTTTTGACTCACGGGAGTTGCAAGGAATAAGGGCCACCTGGCTTGACACTGGGGCTCAGTGACGGTGTCCACCCCTTCTGTCTCTTCTCAAGTCAGTGTTGGGGGGCCGAGAAAGAACCTCTGGTTGCTTGAGGGAAAAGTCACAGAACTGCACTGAGTGAACAGTAGCACCTGTCCCTGAAGGTGTTAGGAAGGTTCAGGGAGTCTGGTGTGAAGTACTGAGACCACACAGGAAACATTATATAGCTGGGTTTTTGTTTTTTAAGAAAATAGAAGCAAGCTTATTTTTTCCCTATAGGCCGAGCACCTTGCAGTGTTTTGGATGGAACTGGTGGATACACCTTTCTGGGCTGTCCATGATTTGAGACAAACATTTGCAGTAAAAGTACATCTGTGTTTTGTTTTGTTTTTTTTTTTTTTGAAATGGAGTCTTGCTCTGTTGCTCAAGCTGGAGTGCAGTGTTGCAATCTTGGTTCACTGCAACCTCCACCTCCTAGGTTCAACTGGTTCTCCTGTCTTAGCTTCCTAAGTAGTTGAGACCACAGGCGAGCCACAGCACGCCCAGCTAATTTTTGTATTTTTAGTATAGACGGGGTTTCACCGTGTTGGCCAGGTTGGTCTCGAACTCTTGACCTCAAGTGATTCACCTACCTCAGCTTCCCAAAGGGCTGGGATTATAGGCGTGAACCACCGTGCCCAGCCTAAAAGTACATCTTGGAGGGAAAATACAGTTGGGGGGTGTCTAAGACAAATTTATTACTTCTTTTCAGTTTTCAAATGTAAATTCCCTCCCCCATCCTGCAATTTGAATAGGGAATAGATTTCCATTCCATGCTACTGTTGAAAGGGGTGATTGGATTTTGGTGTATTTTTCACTAACTTAGAAAGTGGACTAGAATCTGCTAAACACTAAATAGAGGTATTTCCAGGGATTTTTTTTCCTCCCATTTTATAAGACACAAATACTAGTCACTGGCAAAAATGTCGTCGTACACCACCTTGTCCCTGGTGTGTTCTCATGTAGTTTTCATGGTAGCCCTGTCAAGTAGGAACTATGACCCCTTATTGCAGATGAGGAGACTCATGCATGAAGGCATTAAGTAACCTGTCCGAGGTCATGCAGCTAGTAGGTGATTGAGCTAGGACTCAAATAGGACAGTCTGATTCCAGAGCCCGTGTTATTAAGTACCACGCCATATTTACTGAACTGCACGTTTTGTTTTCTCTTCTCAGAAATTGGTTATTTCAGTCGTGGACATGAAGACTGGGTAACTCTTGGTGTGGGCATCTATGTGCACCACGGTGTTTACAGTCTTAAGTTGGTCAGAACATTGAATGCTTTTTAATCACCTTGCAGTAAGTCATTCATGCCAGCAATGAGAGTAGCACTTGGAGGCCCTAAAGCTGTTGGAATGTTTGCTGTGGACATCTCTGGTATTCCCAAAGTACACAGTGTGTAGACAAAGTTGTGAAAGGAACCATGCTAATGTGGACGGAGAACTGACTTTTTTAGGATCTATCTTGTTTTATTGTTGACATTTTTATCTGGGAAATGGCAGTACTTGGCATAGAACTTTTATTGAATAACAATTACCAGCAAAGCAGGTTTTTCCCTCTCTTTCTGGTTTGCATCTTGCAAAAAGACAGTTATCTTGATTTAACTGGCCTTTTCTTCTAAAATCTACCGTAGCCCAGAGTAGGAGAATTGCTTTATAACAATACCAAATAGACCAAGAGTATCAGTAATTAATTCTTACAACCTAGTATACAGTGTATGACAGGCATTTACAGGTATGTGGTAGAATTGTGATTGTTGAAAATTTAACATGTATGATGTCTGTAAATATTGGCTACCAAGATTAGATATTGAAATGCTGATTAGGAATAGGAATTAATTCAAGCCATTAAGGGAGTCTAGGTAAAAAGATGAAAGGTCTTTTTTCTTTCCTTTCCTTTCCATTTCTTTATTTGTCTGTTTTTTCCCCAATAAGCCTTTTGCACTCCTAAACAGGTTTTTCAACACAAGACTTCAGCACAAAGTGATGGTACTTTGAAGTATTGAGAAGAGTACATAATGTTTCCTACAATCTCAGTTTACTTTTTTGGGAACATGAACACATATGTTCTAAATCAGTGCTACCCAAGGTGTGGTTCGTGGATTGACTGCAGCACCAGTTCGGCACTTGGGAGCTTATAGGAATTCTTTGGTTCCTCTTCAGGCTGCTGAATCCAAGAGGCTTTGGGGGCTGGTTTGGAGAGTCTCATTAGAGGATCTCCAGATGATTCACATGCATGCTGAAATTTGAGAAGCACTGGCCTAAATCGTTGTTGGAATGGTTCCCCCCCGCCCCCAGACAGAGTTTTGCTCTTGTTGCCCAGACTGGAGTGCAATGGCACGATCTCGGCTCACTGCAGCCTCTGCCTCCTGGTTCAAGGGATTCTTCTGCCTCAGCCTCCTGAGTAGCTGGGATTACAGGCATGTGTCACCACGCCCGGCTAATTTTATATTTTTAGTAGAGACAGGGTTTTTCCATGTTGGTCAGGCTGGTCTCGAACCCACAACCTCAGGTGATCCACCCGCCCGGCCTTCCAAAGTGCTGGGATTACAGGCGTGAGCCACTGTGCCCGCCCTGGAATGGTATCTTAAGCACATTGAAGAACTAAGTTAAATTGTGGTTGGAGATTAGTACGCAAAATGATAGCAGTGAAAGATGGTTGCAGTGCTGTGTAATTGTTCACCATTTACTCAAAACTACAAGAAAAGTGTTTTTAGCCGTTACACTGATACCAGCTTATCCCTAATGATGCTAAATACCTTTCAATCACTTTATTTTTTTCTTG